CCAATAAAAGACTCCAGCTCCCAACAAACACACGTACAAGATCCAAACAGGTCGATCGTTACCTCTGTGACATTATCTTGAAGGCGTCTGGCAAGTAGCACTGCACATTCTCCATCTGGAAGGGGTCTGCGTCACAGATCTTGTCATCAGTGCGTCCATAGTTGGCCGTCTCTATCATGATGACATCACTTCCAGGGCAGCGCAGCTCGATGGGGTAGCCTTCGCAGGCCAGCTCTCGACGCATCAAGCCGAAAGGCATCATTGACCGACTCAGAGCTGGAGTGGAAAAACGAGAGCAAGGCAAAGTTATTGATAATTCAATGAACCTTAATACTTTTAGGAGCCACTTTATTACTCGACCACATTGTAAATATGATGCATATTATTTGACAAGTGCAGGAGGGATGAAAGTGGTTCCAAATGTCCTGATGTTGAACATAAATTAGCTATTATGTTCTCGCCTTCGGAGAGTTGCAGTAATTCTGCACTTATTGATGCACAGCCCAGCGATCCGGTTTTCACTCTGGATCCTCACAGCTCGCTTATTGGCATACAAGATTTGTAGCAATAGCAGCCTCTCCAACTGCAGCATTTGTGAACCAAACTGTGAGAGGATCTAACATTAACAAACTCCTACACACAATCAGGTGGCGATGTCAGAATCAACAGTTCAGAGAAGAACTGTGACTTTCCCTTTAATCATTGGATCGTTGATCCAGATTTACTGAGAGGGAAGTTCACATAATAAACACCATGAGATGGGCTTCGATAAAATAAAAATGAATAATGTCATTCGGTCATACACTCCAATGAAAGACTCCATCTTGACACATAGGATGACACATCAGAAAGGATTAGTACCAGGTCCAACAGTGAGTCAAATCCTACTTGCTTTTTCTAGAATTTTTGTTTATAAAAACATGGAAAAAACATTTAAAAAAACCCATCATAACACATCATCTGTAGACAGGGTACCATGGAAGGATATGACAATGTAACAGACTTAAGAACATGATTATATTTCTACATACCATGCAGAATTCATTATTTGGGCAAGACCCACAACAGGAAATGTCTCAAAGAAACATTAATATATTTATATTATATTAAAATATTAACTGTGTTTCTCAGTAATATTATAGTAAGTTAATATTTATTTAAGGCCCTTTCAGTCAGGGGTCCTTGGAATCATCCTAAAGCCCCCTCCTTCCAGCACCACTGTCTGTAAGCTCTTCCTGAAGATGAGTTAGAAGACATTTTCTATTGGGCTGCTGACAGGCCAATCCGTGGAGTTGCTTGGTAAAGACATCATCACAAAAGGTCCTATCTCAAGTTCACATCCTTGCAGATTCACTGAACCATGGCAACAGTGGACAAATATGTTACACTTCAGCTAAAAGGTGGAAACATAAATATCACCAGGAAGCCCCTGACCAAAAAAAAAAAAAAACTCCCCTGGAACTGAGGCAAAGAAATCTGCAGGAATAATAAGGTGGAGGGGTCGAGGGGGGTGGGGGTATGTAACTGTGTTATATACAGTATAATGTCAACCAGATATCAATGTAACACTACCAGGCTTTTGTTAGATTGTTGTAGGCTAGCGCTGGGTGACCATTTTAAACGACTTATGTCTACATATAGACGCTACACTTTGTTAATCTGCAGTGAGTTTCAGGAGGTAAAAGTTATCTCCCTGACACTACCTGGCTTTGTACAGTGCATATCATTAATATTAGCTAATTCGGGGTGGTCATTTTAGGTCACTTCAATTTGCATACAGTGATTTCCCGTCAGAGGTCATCTGTTATCAACACACTGAAGGGGGAAATGTGGTAGACAATAACACACTCATGTCCCTGGCTGTATCATGTACAGTATTGACTGTGTGTATCAGATGTCACAGACAGCCAGACCGATGGCCGGGAGGGGGACGGATTTTTTCTCTCAACATTTAGTTAAATGAATAGATGCAAGATCATAATTTTTGTTTAATTTATCTTTTAGGACTTTAGGATTCAGTAGCAGGGAGGCCAATATTAGTAGAGAAAGAACAGGAGGAATCAACGCCTGTGTTCGCATTCACCTCTGGGGCAGATACCATTGCACACCCACTGCTGTTAATCAGCCGTCTGAAAAGCATGTCAATGTGCTGCTGTGGCCAGCAGCGGGGCTCTTCGTGGAGAGGGGTCGGCAGGGACAGCAGGGTACTCCGGGTTAATCGCTGAGCGAGGCTGAGAGGCATGAAAGAGGGTCGTATAGAGGCGCTGGGAGAGACACTTGCTGTCTCTCCAATTCTCTCCATGGCTGCATACATTTCCAGCTGCCTCTACAGTCAGCACTACTCTGAAAAGAAAAATAACAAAATGGCTGCCAAATTCCTTTAGAGCCTTAGGTAGTAGCTCAGACAGAATGAAAGTGTAGAGTGAGTGATGTGGCAGTTCTTTCTGGAGTTGAAGGACGAGAAATGTTCTTGTTGCTTAAGTTCATGCCAGCAGCTAGAGCCGCTGTCCAAGGTCCTGAACTGACAAAATGCCTTTCAGGCCATAACACAGTAGGCGTTTAAACTGCATCCTAGTCCAGAAGGCCGGGAACTGTCCACTGAAAAACCACGCTATTCACCTGGTAGGACATGTCCATGGACAGTACCAGCTCCAGTCAAACCAGATAGAAATGGAACTATATTTCTTCATAAACCGGGGCTATGACCACGTAGCTTTCTGTCCTGTCAGACAGCCTCAGTAGCAGACAAGGGCACTGATTCAGAATCCCTCTCCCCTGCTGCTGTTTGTGCTGAAACACACAGAGCAGGGCTGTTTTCTTTTTCTGACTGTGAGCTCGCACTGCTTAGGTTTCAGCCATGGTCCATTCAAAAGGAGTGCCCATCTGTGTCAATGTCAGTGTCAGTCATCGCAGACATGTTCTGCATCTCTGTGCTACATGACTCACTGCCAACAGACTTGCTCATATTTCTAAAAGCTGCCCGTTTATACAACGGGGACTTGAGTTCAGATGTGAAACTAACGCCATTAAGGCTGAATGACTAGCACACACAGACTTCAAATCTTTCAAGCCTGGCCAGCATACAGTACCAGTGCCAATTCACAAATGCCTAGATGCCAAAGTGCATACTAATTAAAAAACACAGAGATGCAAACAGCAGGCGAGGCCAGACACCCATGTCCCCACACAAATGCAGACATCCACGTAAGCAAATTAGCACATATGCAGCCTTACTGGCAGAGAAGAGTGCGCCTTCAAAGCGAAGCGCACACATACTCAGATCCATGCATTTCACAGTGGGATTACAATATGTGGTGTCAGTGTGTGGCCTTGTTCTCTTAACTACCCTGTGGTGAAAGTACACAACAGCGTACAGCTGGACAGCCATTAGAAGCACACAGCAAGCCAAGAGGAAAGTGAAACCGAAATGAACCACCAGGAGCGATGATCTCTCTCTCTCTCTCTCTCTCTCTTTCTTACACTGTGGACCAACACAACAGGAACATTAGCTCACATCTCATGGGGGATATCACGTGCTTAACGTCTTTTGCTCTCCTAATACACTTTATATGGTAAACCTTTAAGGGCCATTTAAGCACTAATGCAAATAGTGACAGTGACAGGGCTTCCGTTTGTGATGCAAAGGACCACAGAGCTGCTGATTTGAGTTAAGTCTAAGCCTTTTTGACAATAGTAAATGAGGACAGATTATTCATGCACTCTTCTGATCAACGGCGTGTTTTTTATTGTTGCTTTTGTGTTTGTGTAGATCAGTTCATGACCGTCACTTTTATCTGTTGTATCATCATCATTTATCTAGGCAAACGGCTAAATTTGATCAAACAGGTGTGTTTGGGGAAATGCACTACTAGGAAACATGAGGCGTCAATTGAATCCCACTGCTGCAGATTCTGAAGAAAGCAATAACCTGTCCAGTATTATGCTAAATTTGATGTATAGCCCAAATCCATTATCCTTTTCAGGTATTTCCTTCCCTCGCCTGACTAATAAAGTATATATTTAGCCATAAGTGAGAGCGGCCATTACTGGGCCGGTACACTTCCCTGCTGCCAGCAATTACACTAACCTTCCTATTCCTACAACCGCTGCAACTCTTTTCTTCTCACTCAAATTTTGTCCAGCCTCAACAAATTGACAAGTTCCATGTTCAAGATGAAATTCCCATTTGAATGAATGCAGCAAATTGAAACTTGTACTTATTCACATTGATTTGTGAATGATGTGTTTACAAGGAGGTACGGAATTGAAGTGATTTAGTGTGTGTGTGTGTGTGTGTGTGTGACTGAGTGACCGTATGTATTGGCCAGATGGCCTGAGGGCAAACTAGAGCTGCGGCCGACTCTAAGCTGAGCTGAGATGAGAGGAGGATAAGATTGGACTGGCCATGGGCTACAATTGTCCTTCACTCTGCAGGAATCCATTAAGGTTTCAGGGTCTCTTTGACCAGTGCAAAAGTACACACACACACACACAGGTGCGCTTACATAAGCATAGTCATTTGGTCGAGCTTGTCCCACCCATTATAGATTGAATACAGTGAATGGTGTATTTCTCCGCAGCAGCCATACTGTGCATATACAGGTGAATATAAACGTACACACTGACTCCATGACTCATCTCCTATCGTATCAGCAGAGGCCAATATTTATAAGACACAGAAAATGGCTACAAACTGTACCACATACTGATAACTGAATAAGCTAATTCAATAATTCAATGAATGGATTTGCATGGACTTTGTGTACCAAAAAGACGGCGGTCTGCCTGACACAGACACAAACCTACAAAGGTAGGCAGACACACACAGCAGGGGTCTGGTGTCACTCTAGTGCAGCTGGTCAGAGGGTCTGGAGCGGTTGGCTTCCTAATAGAAACTCCATTCAAATTAGGAGCAAGAGAAAGAACTGATTGGATTTGACTCATTATCCTCACACAGTAATTAAAGCCTGAGGGTGGATGGTGGACGCTTTGACCCTCTGGCAAGAACATCATTTTGTGGAAGCCAGACTAGTTTTTGCACAAATCCACCCTTTCACATCTGTCTTAAACCAGTATTAAAACACATAATCAATGGTGGCAACTCCCACCAACCACAAGGCTGGAGTGACAACACTGTAAAACAAACTCTAGCCAAGGTCAACAAGTAGCTCTTTATTTTTGAATAACATCACAACAGTTGCATAACAGTTGTCTTTTTTTTTTGCCAGACTATCAGCTTTTCAGCATGTGAAACACAAGAGCCAATCAACATGCAG